AAATCAAATATTTGAATAGTTGATTTGAATTTGATCGAATCAAATCAAAGATTAATTTAGATTTGATCAAATAAATGCTTTTTTGATTTGAATTTGATCGAATTGAATCAAATATAAATTTGTATTTGTATTTGATTTGATTTTTAAATCAAATATTTGAATATCAAATTGAATTGCGGAACCCTACTCTTAACAATATGTGTATAGAGTATTACTTGATACAGAGTCCTTTGGAATTACTATCATATGATTCTTCTAACAATATATGCGTAAAGTATTACAAAACTTTAAACGCAGAAAATTAATAATATATGCATAAAGAATCACCTGTCATTGAGTTCTTTGAGAGTATTATCAGATGTCTCTTATAACAATATATGTATTTTCTCATAACACCCATTTTAAAAAAAAGGCGTAGTATAAATTCGCTTAATTTCGACCAACACTATTCTATAATTTCAGCCAGAACTTTGGATATAATAACTCAGTATCCAAGTTGACATAAAACTGGTAAATTAATAGAATCTCTCTGGCCTCCTTGCCAATTCCATGATAGTTTTATAAGAATTTCCTACCAGTTTCACGATAGTTTTATGATACTATACAGCACTATCATGATGTCAAGCTGGATCCTCAAATTATGTGTCCAAAGATCAGCTGAAATTATGGCATAGTGTTGGCCAAAATTAAATGCGAATTTACTACGTCACCTGACGCAAATTTTTTTTACACTATTTTGGCAATTTAAAAGGCAACCAAATAGGCGTAAATTTTTGTTAAATAATATCTAACACTGAGCTTTCTAGGATCGCTATCATATGATTATTCTAACAATATATGCATAGAGAATCACCTGTCATTGAGCTCTTTAGAATCACTATCATATGATTATAGATGTGAATTTATCATGCCACCTAACATGATTTTTTTACCACAATTTGGCATTTTGGTGGATAACAAAATAGATGCAAAAAGGTAAGTATTTCAATATAGAATTGGACATCCAATCAGGTGTAGAAAGTCAGCACCCTCAATATAACACCAGGTATCCAAACAGTTACAGAAGGCCAACAGCCTCTAATATAGAATTTAGCATGTAAATAACGTAGAAATAAGAAGAAGGCGTGGTATTTAGATTATATGTGTATGTGATAATTAGATTATATTGTTGTAATAAAATCATAATAATATAAAAAACATGAATATTAAGAAAGACTTAAAGACATAGCTAGAAGATAAAAAGAATATAAAAAAAAGTAAAAATGGTAGATTATATGCGGTATTTAGATTATATGGGAGCTTTGCAATAGAAAGGGAGGAAACTCTAAAAAAATTTTTTTTTGAGTTAATGTTAAATCTGGACTTATTTTACAAAAAAAATCATAATTAGCTTAGAAAATAAAATTTTAATTTTTTTAGAGTTTCCTCCCTTTCTATTGCAAAGCTCCCATATGTGATATTTAGATTTCATGTAATATTTAGATTATATGCGATATTTAGGTCACATATGATATTATAATCTAGGATTGAAAATTTAACTAATAATAATGATAGATAAGTACTAGAGCTTTTGAAATTATTTATTATTTTTTATATTATGCGATATTGATCAAGTTATGCTAAGCTAAAGTAGTGGCCAAATTTATTATGAAATTGAAAAATTGAGAATATGATAATTTTGTGTAATAGGTATATTATTTAAGAAATCGATTTCTTTTATAAATTTAACTAAAATTTTTTGTTTTAATTAAAAAAAATTACAATTTTCATGTAAAATCGTATCTTTTATAAATTGATAATTGACCTGAATTAAGTTAGTTTAATTTTTATTTTTCATAATATGCTATTGAGAAAGCGTCAAATTTCTGCACGAAAAAATTTTCAAAAATGAAAAAAAAGCAAAAAAAATGTAAAATTATTAGATTTAAACTTATTTTATTTGAAAGTTCTTCTAATTTTAGCGATGAAGATTATTCATCTAATTCTAGTAATGACTTTGAAAAATTTTATAAACAAAGATTAAATAAACTTGGAAAATTAGAATTAATAAAAAAAGAAAAAAAAATCAAGCTTGAATTATTACAAGCCACTAAATATAGAAAATATGGTCTATCTGGTAAATTTACATTAGCAACAGTTGGAACTAAAACTCTCAATCATTTTTTTACATATAAAAAACAAAAATTTAGTTCAGAAAACATTGAAAACAAATACTTAGTTGGTGAAAGTAATGCACTAGGTAGTGGTATATCTAGTAGTGATACATCTGATAATAATATATTTGAAAATAGCATATCAGACAATAATAATTCATTAGATGATAATATATCTGATGGTGGTGATTATAATTTTTTCGATAATAATAATAGTGATAGGGATAGTGAGTTTAGTTCTAATAATGATGATGATGGTAGTAGTGGTTATATATTTGATTCTTTTGATAATGGTATTTCTGATCAAAAAAAAAATAATTAGTTTAGAAAAGCTTAAAAACTCAAAAAAATTTTGAAAAATAATAGAAAAAGCTTATCTGTATCAGAATATCTTCATTACTGGGCAATATATAAATATTTTTTACATATAAATAGTAATATTAATAATGTAGAAGCAAGTAATAATGTAACAGATAAACTTTACCAAAAAGGTTCTTATCAAGCAAAAAATATTTGCAAATAGGCAAAATATTGAATTGAAAATGGAGTATTACTAATAAGTAAACAAGAGTGTCATAAAAAAAACAAAATCACTTATTGATGAAAAAGATTTAATTAATAGTAGTCTTAGATTTATTTGTCAAAATAGGGGTAAAACAATACCAAAAGATTATCAACAATTTATTCAATCAGTACTTTTTAAAACAACAAATAAAAAAAAACAATTTCATTAAAAACTTCACGAATCTGGCTAAAAAAGCTTAGTTTGGTTTCATAATCCCAGAAAAAAAGCATTTATTTTGATGGTCACAAAAGAGATAATGTATTAGCATATTGTGAAATCTTTTTAAAATAAATGGAAGAATATGAACAATTTATACCAATATTTATTGAAGGTGAAATGACACAAATTAATCCAGAAATTTCCAATAATCAAAAATGCATATATTTATAACACATGATGAATCATTATTTTATGCAAATAATGATCATCTGATTATTTGAGTACTACTTGAAGAGTAATTTCTTCATAAGAAAGGTCAAGGTAGATCAATCTGGTTAGTGAATTTATGCTTGAAACAATTGGATAATTAAAATTAACTTTAGAACAAGCATATTTAAATCCAAATATTCCAGTTGAAGCACAGAAATTTTTAAAACCTAAAAAAAATGCAGAGGGTTAGTGGACTGCTGATCATTTAATTGATCAGGTTATCAATTTTGCCATTCCTATTTTTGAAACAATTTATCCTAATGTAGCTGCTATTATGGCATTTGATAATAGTACAAATCATGGATTAATTCCAACTGATGGTTTAAATGTTACATTAATAAATATTAATCATGAAAGTAAACAACCATGCATGCATTCAACTTATTTTGGATCAAATAATACTTATCAATCAATGATTTTTGCTGCTGATAATCTTATATATCCTAATCAATAAAAGGAATGCGTGAAATATTAAAAGAACAAAATTTATGAAGAGATGGATTAATTGAAGATTGTTGATTATGTAAAGATAAAAATAAAATTATAGATAATCAAAGAATAGATTGTTGTATGAGAAGAATTTTATCATTACAGCCTGATTTTATTGCTCAAAAATCTCATTTTCAAGAAGAAATTGAAAAAAGAGAATACAATGTATATTTTTTCCAAAATATCATTGTGAACTCAATTTTATTGAAATGTATTGGCGAGTTATTAAAAGATATACTAGAAAATATTGTAATTATTCTTGGATAGGTTTACAAAATATTGTATTTAAAACTTTAGACTCTGTACCATTAATAACCATTTATTAATATGCTCAAAAATCATGGAGATATATAGATATATACAGAAAAGGAATTACTGGTAAACTGGCAGAATTTGTAGAATTTGTGATTAAAAAATATAAGTCTCATAGAAAAGTATCTGATAATATATATGATGAGCTTTGATATAGTAAAATAAATAAAAATATATAAAAATCATATGACTTATATGATCATGTGATCTTAAATAATATAATTGAATTTGAGAATTTTTTTTTAATAAATTAATTCCTTTTTATAAATAGAATATAAATTTTTAATTATATTAAAATCAAATAATAGAATAAAAATTAATTTAAATTTTTTTTTAATTTTTGATTATAGAGGTTTTGCACTATATTATAATACTAAAAAATTATTATAAAAAACTGATTAAGGATAATATCACAAACTTTATCACAAAACAATTATTTATATCTTATATAAAATCATTCCTTTATTTTTTTGAATTATTATTTTTATTATACAAAGACTAGATATTCTCATGTAATTACATCTCTTTATTATTATTTAAAAAAATGAAAATAATTTGTAAAATAATAATATTTCATTTTTTTGTATTATTACAAAACTAAAAAATTATTATAAAAAACTGATCAATATCTCATACAATATCATTTCTATATTCTTTTATTTCTTTTTCATTATTATTTCCATTATACAAAGACTAAAATATAATTATATCCCATCATTATTATTTAAAAAGATAAAAATAACTTGTAAATATTAATATTTCATTTTTTTATATTATTACAAGACTAAGAATATCTCATCTATTATATAATTAATAAATATAACTCATAAAATAATATTCTTTCATTTCTTTTATATTATTATATCCCAACTCAAAATTTTATTTTTATTCTTTTGTTTGAATCAAATAATTGTTAAAAAAAATTACATCATGAATATAAAGCAATAGAGCATTAAAAAATTTTATTATATGAAAAATTGACATCATAATTTATTAATTTGGCATATTTGAAATGTATGCTATTTTAAGTGATCAGCCTAATCATGATTTTATGGTTAGCTGACCCACCCCAGTAACAAATAGGATGTGACAAATAGGTTTCATACCATGTGAAAAAAACTAAGTCTAAAAATAAATAGAAATTATGCTTTACTGTCTGATATGATGGGTATAAAAAAAATAGTGCAGATCTTACCTATATAAGTTAACTTAGCATAATTTCAGATATGCATTAATTTGTTTAATAATTGATATATTAGAAATTTAATTATTTTTTTATAATAATAGATTTTTTAGAAATTCTTCAGATATTATTCTGATATTCCTTAATTATTACTCAGATATTTCTCAGATATTTCTTAAATATTCATCCAAGATTCATCTAAGATTAATTTATAATTAAATCAGAAGCAAGAAGTAGTTCTGAGAGAAAGAAAAGTCAAATTTTCTTTTAGTCAAAAAAAATAATGTGAAATATTATTTTGATAATCATCTAACATTTAAAATTTTTTAGATATAAGTAAATATATAATATTAATTCAATAATCAACATATTAGCCTCAATGCTAATTTGTGATTACAGCCTTAATGTTTAAACTTCAGTTCTTTCCATAAAATGAGATTAATAATAGCAATATTGATTTAATATTAAACTAACATAATTGGATTTTTTTTAGTTTTTATATCAAATCTTTAGTTTAAATCAAATTAAAATAAAATAATGTAAGATCATCATTGATCAGATTGATTAAGCTTGTCAAAAGCATATGAAAACGTTTCCAGTAAAATTAAGTCATAAGGCATAATAAATCATATGATCCATTATGGATTTTACTAAAAACATTCTTATATAATTTTAAAATGATTGTTAATATAACAAATGAAAAGAAAATTCGTAAAATAAAACATTTGGTTAAATATTGTTGGATTAAAAATAGTTAATTATAATTATAGAATTTGTAGATTTTTTATTATTTAGGATAAAAACCTGAACCATTTTCTCTATATTAATCATATTTTAACAATTAAATTCTGAATATTATAAGCTAATAAGCAAAAATAAGTTTTATATAAAAAAAAAAGCAAATGGTAAGGTATTATATAAAAAAAAAATAGAATAAAAAAAAATATATTTTTTTATTTTTAACTGTTTATATTTTTGTTATTGAAAATTTATAATAAAATAAGGACTTAAATTTAGTAGTCTTATACTTTGTTTCTTTATTTTTTCTTCTCTTATCTCTTATTTTGTCTCAGTTCTATTCTATCTCTCTCTCATCTCTCTTTTCTTTCTTTCGTAATAGTTTTGCTTAAAATTAATTTCAATAAAATATAGTGATATTACTAGTAATGAAATTCTTAAATCATAAGATTATCTTTAAATACAGTCGACCCCCTCTATAGTCACCTCCTATATAATCATTCCCCTTCTTTAGTCACATTGTAGTTCAGTTCCGATTTTTTAAATAAGAAAATACCCCTTTTATAATCACATAATATATATAAATATAATCACATCAA